GTAGACGTTGGGTCAAAGAGTTGTGACGTTAAATAATTTCAAAATCCCCTCTCGTCAAACTTGTTTCCCCAATGCTTCGTCTTAAGTTGGCACGATTGACAATTTGGTAACTCATTAACAAAGGAGACATCTTTTGCAAATTAGATTTAGTTGAGTTGATTTGTGTTCCATATTTTTTAATTATTTGAATTTGGTCTTTTATGATTTTTATTATATATATATATATACACACACACATACGCGCACGTAATTTTAATGCATAAATAAGTACTCGATGAATTTTGATAAAAATTTAACGCTGTCTTTTAAATTTACTACGAACAGTACTATAAGAATCGGTATTAAACATCCCTCCTGTAATTGTACACGCTCCCATAGCAATAACATACTTTGGTTCGGGCATTTGTTCATACAATCTTACTAAAGAAGGAGCCATTTTCATTGTTACTGTGCCGGCTGTTAAAATTAGGTCTGCCTGTCTAGGACTCGATCTTGGTACCAGTCCATAACGATCAAAGTCAAATCGTGAACCTATTAATGAGGCAAATTCAATGAAGCAACAACTGGTACCATAAAGAAGCGGCCATAAACTGGAAAGTCTTGACCAATTTGAAAGATCGTTTAATGTAGTTGAAATAACTGAATTTTGGGTTGTTCGATCAAGTAAGGGAAACTCAATGGAATTCATAATTGTCTCAATGTTCGCATAAATTACTGTGCACAAAAGACCATCAAATTAATTGAGACCAATTATAAACGATCCGATACGGTCGATGATACATTGAGTTTCAATGTATCAAATTAAAACATAAACTCTATTTTATGCGTAGATACCAACTTTGTAATTTTTAATTTTATGACGAGTCAAATTAGTAATATAAAAATTTAACATGCACGGTTTGTCTATAATCAGACGATTATGGTATCAAAATTAGATATATAATTTTGATATTACGTTATCTCGTACAAAAAATAGAGAGAATATAAAAACTTAAAAAATTACGTTCATATTTCTTTCATTATGAATTCAGTCACGCTTTCGTGTTTATTTTTTTATTCAGTACGAGATTTTTTTATTATTATTTCCAGATATGGTTTAATTTAATCTTAACGCTTAAGTCTTTTGCTATCAATAATTTATTCGAATATAATAATAATAATAATAATAATTGAACCAACAAATAAAACTCTGTGGGATTGTACTTGTCTTTTGGACGGTCTTATTTTGGTGGGAGTTATAATTTGCTCACTTACTAATTTTTTATCATAAAATTATTTTAGTAAATAGAGTATAGTTTAATGATTGCGGTTTAAATTATGTACCATACTTTTTTTACTAATTAAGAAAATCTATCAAGCACTTGATAATTTACAAGTAATAATGTGACCCAAATCTGCCTACCTCATATCTATAATCTTTTATGAAGTAAGAATATGATTGATACATATATATATATATATATACGTGTGTGTGTGTGTGTGTGTG